TCGGGGTGTGCAGCAGGAGCCGGGTGTGCACCAGGATGTGGACACGAGCGTGAGACGAGATCGGGGTGTGCAGCAGGAGCCGGGTGTGCACCAGGATGTGGACACGAGCGTGAGACGAGATCGGGGTGTGCAGCAGGAGCCGGGTGTGCACCAGGATGTGGACACGAGCGTGAGACGAGATCGGGGCGTGCAGCAGGACCCGGGTGTGCAACCGGGTCTGGGGACGCAGCAGGAGCCGGGTGTGCAACGGGAGCGGGGGGCGAGTGTGCAACGAGACGTGGGGGTGCAGCCGGACACGGACACGAGTGTGCGACAGGACCCGGGTGTGCGACAGGACCCGGGTGTGCAACGGGACGTGAGTGTGCAACGGGACCCGGGTGTGCAACGGGACCCGGGTGTGCAACGGGATCAGGACGTGAGTGTGCAACAGGACGGGAATGTACAACAGGACGGGAATGTACAACAGGACGCGAATGTACAGCGAGACACGGGCGTGCGACGGGACCCGGGGGTGCAACAGGACCTGAGTGTTCAACGGGACCCGGGGGTGCAACAGGACCTGAGCGTGCGCGGGGTCGTCCTGGGTGTGCAACAAGACCTGGACGAGCAACGGGAGCCGAGTGCGCACCAGGGACTGGACGTGCAGCGGGACCCGGGGGTGCAACAGGAGCCGGGGGTGCACCAGGAGCCGGGCCCGGCCGTGCCGGAGCCGCCGAGTGTTGCGGAGCCGCCGGGGGTGTGACCGAGGGTGTGGCCGAGGGTGTGGCCGGGGGTGTGACCGAGGGTGTGACCGGGGGTGTGACAGAGGGTGTGGCCGGGGGTGTGGCCGAGGGTGTGGCCGAGGGTGTGGCCGGGGGTGTGACCGAGGGTGTGACCGGGGGTGTGACCGAGGGTGTGACCGAGGGTGTGGCCGAGGGTGTGGCCGGGGGTGTGACCGAGGGTGTGGCCGGGGGTGTGACCGAGGGTGTGGCCGGGGGTGTGGCCGGGGGTGTGGCCGGGGGTGTGGCCGGGCGTGCCAAGGCCGCGTGGCCCCGCCCGGGCCGGGCACAGGCGCGTGCCAGGGGAGCGGCGTGAGCGGGCGCGGGGCCGGGGCGGGGAACGCGCGTGTGCGCGGCCCGACACGCGGGGGAGGGCGGGGGCGCGCAAGGGGGGGCGGGGCCGGCACGCGCGTGGGATTGGCCGCGCCCTCACACGCACACGCGTGTCCCTGTGCACACACGTGTCCTCACACGCACACACACGTGTCCCTGTGCACACACATGTCCTCACACGCACACACGT